GTAGGTGCCTGTGGTCCCAGCTACCTGGAAGGCTGAGGTGGGACGATCCCTTGAGCCCAGAAGGTTGAAACTGCAGTGAGCTCTGTTTGCTCCACTGCACTCCAGCTTGTGCAACAGAGCAAGACCTTGTCTCAAAAAAAAAAAAAAAGAAAAAAAAAGTTCAACACTGAGATCCCATCTTTGCCTGTGTACTCTGGCGTAAGACTGTATGCTTATTTATGGAGTTAGTAAAACGAGGGTCTTTGGAAGAAGGAATATAAAGGAGGTCTAGGGTGTGAATACTATATTGTATACAGAGGGATTAAATGAAAATTCATTTGCTAAAGTTGATGCCCCCAGTCCTCTTCCAGCCATCCTCCCAGAAAGCTGACCACCCTGTGTTTACATTGAGTGTTGACGAGTAGCGATCCTTTCTAAAAGTAATTTTATTGGCATTCCCAATTTGACTCAATCTGAGAGCACAATAAAAAAGCATCAACTATAGGCACAGACTCTTTTTTCTCTATTTTCTATCCTTTTTTTTTTTTCTGCTCTATTTTAATCTTCGAGCAGAAAACCAGGAATTACCAGACACTGGAGGAAAGAAACCAAACCAGCATGAAGAGACCAAAAAAAGAGAAGTAAGCAACTGAAAGAAACAGATTCTTCTTGGATAAGAACATTTTATTGTATATTTTTAGAGACAGAGTCTCTTTGTGGCCCAGTCTGGAGGCAGTGGTGGCTGCAAAGTAACTTCAAACACCTGGGCTCAAGCAATCCTCCTGCCTCTGATTCCTAAAGCACTGGGATTACAAGTGTGACCTACCACGCCTAACCTTTGGATAATATTTTTAAAGCACATCAATAAAATCATCAATGTTTGTCTGTATTATATAAATGTATTGCTTTTATGTATTTATTTTTGGAATCTGCATTAGGAATCTAAAAAAAAAATCTGGCCCGATACAGTGACTAATGCCTATAATCCCAGCTACTTGGGAGGCCGAGGCAGAAGGATCCTTTGAGGCCAGTAATTGAAGACCAGCTTGGGAAACATAGCAAGACCTCTGTCTCATAAAATAAATAAAAAAAAAATTTGAGGTGACTGGCTAAGGGTTGATTTACTTATTTTGAGACAGGGTCTCACTTTGTCACCCAGGCTGGAGTACAGTGGCACGATCTCAGCTCACTGCAGCCTCAACCTCCTGGGTTCAAGGAATCCTCCCACCTCAGCCTCCCAAGTAGCTGGGACTACAGGCTTGTGCCACTATGCCCAGCTAATTTTTGTACTGATGGGGTTTCTCCATGTTGCCAAGGCTAGTCTCAAACTTTTGAGCTCAAGTGATCCACCCACCTTGGCCTCCCAAAGTGCTGGGATTACAGGGGAGAACCATCACACCTAGCCTGACTTATAATACACATGGCATACAACTAAAAGGTATATATTTATACATTCATTGCTTAGGGGTAAACAGATAACTTTTGGATGGTATTGACCCATAAAGTTAATGTTCCTGGTAATGTAAATAGAACACACTAGAAGGAAATCTTCATTTCTTAAGAATAGTATTATCATTTTTCAGAAAAAATAAAAATTAACAGTGTCACATGTAATAGGAAGTTTCTTGATTCACATGTCTTCATATTTCAAGCTGAGAAGAGGTGAAAATCCTTTAATTCTTAAGTATAAATTAACCTTTGAATGAATGGGATTGTAGGATTTAAATAATCTGTGGGTGTGTTGGTAAATCCATCAGTGCTGAGACATTTTTGCAAGGATGGATGCTTTATTAAGCACAGTTATTTGTGTATCTGTAATTATTACCTTCTTGATGGATGAGGGATCATCACCTTTAAGCTGGTTTAGAGGCTATATAATGAGAAATTCTTGGTGCTTTTTACTAAGACAGGGCATTTACTTAATGGCTGTGCACTATTTCTTAGCTTGGTTTGAAGACACAAAAGAATAATTTATATGTTCCAGAATAAATAAGATTATCTTATTTTAGCTTCCAGAAAACAATTTCCAAGCTGACAACAACCACAAACGCATTTTAGGGTGTCTTTAATATATTAATATATTTCACATAACTGCATAATTTTACCTACTGTTTTATGAAATAATTTAGTCACAAACCAAAGTCTAAAAATGACTTCATGTAACTTTTTAAAGAACAATGGTTCCCCAAATAAGATAGACTGTTTCTTTCAAGATTATTTAAATCTTAGAATGGTAGGTACATTTAAAAAAAAAATCTGGCCGGGCGCGGTGGCTCAAGCCTGTAATCCCAGCACTTTGGGAGGCCGAGGCGGGTGGATCACGAGGTCAAGAGATAGAGACCATCCTGGTCAACATGGTGAAACCCCGTCTCTACTAAAAATACAAAAAATTAGCTGGGCATGGTGGTGTGTGCCTGTAATCCCAGCTACTCAGGAGGCTGAGGCAGGAGAATTGCCTGAACCCAGGAGGCGGAGGTTGTGGTGAGCCGAGATCGCGCCATTGCACTCCAGCCTGGGTAACGTGAGTGAAACTCCGTCTAAAAAAAAAAAAAAAAAAAATCTGTGTTCAGTAATCTAAAAAAGCAGAAAAAATTAAGCTTGTAAAACTTACATTTTAAAAAGTACACTCTGGGCCAGGCTCAGTAGCTCACACCTATAATTCCAGCACTTTGGGAGGCTGTGGCAGGAGGATCATGAGGTCAGGAAGATTGAGACCATCCTGGCCAAAATGGTGAAACCCCGCCTCTAATAAAAATACAAAAATTAGCCGGGCGTGGCGGCACGTGCTTGTAATTCCAGCTACTCAGGAAAAGGAGGCAGGAGAATCACCTGAACCTGGGAGGTGGAAGTTGCAGTGAGCAGAGATTGCTCCACTGCACCCCAGCCTGGGCGACAGAATGAGATTTTGTCTCAAAAAACAAACAAAAAGATATATTCTGAAAAGATCTATTTAAGGTGTAATGATTTGTTACTGCACCGATATTTAAATTTCATTAACATATTGCCATAGAAAATAAGCATTTGACTCAGCTTGAGAAACACTTGAGAACCTACTATGTGCTTTCAGGAGTGAGGAAGACAAATAAAAAAACGTGCTTTTTCATCCTTATAGAAGTATTTAGAACAAGGAAAGCAATTAATAGGTCTGCAAATGCCTAACACAGAAGGAGGCAAAAGCTACGAATATAAGAAAAAGTACCAGGAAAATCCTTTTGGGTAATTCCTCCTCCTCTCGCTCTTCTTACTTTCTTGGGCAGGGTCTGGCTCTATCTCCCGTGCTGGAGCGCAGGGGCATGATCATGGCTCTCCTCAACCTCAGGCTCCTGGGCTCACTTTATTAGCTCCTCTTTCTGAGATCCTGCTTACGGGGTTTCTGCACATAGTAAGTGGAAGTTAACAAAATTAATATTGGATATTTGTCCTCCCACCTCCGCCTCCAGAGTAGCTGGGACTACAGGCATGCGCCACCACATTCGGTTCATTTTTTTAGTAGAGATGCGGTCTTGCCATGCTGCCCAGGCTGGTCTGGAACTCCTGGGCTCAGGTGATTGTCCAACACAGCCTCCCAACGTGCTGGGCCACCACGCACGTCTTTTTTCTTTTTTTTTTTTTTTTTTTAATTTTAACTGTTCAAGCCACACTGTTGCTGGCTTGAACCTTTTGAGTAATTTCTAAGATTTACTCTAGTGTTTGAAATAATTCCTGAAGCGTGGGTTTTATTTCTATTGCAGGAAGTGCTAAGGAGAGTTAACTTTATAACAAATGCGTGCTACTTTAAAGCAGCAGTGAATACTAAGAAAAGTTCTTATAGAACAGTGTTAAACAGATGAATAACTTCAATACTTGCTGTTTTCTCCTTGATTTCATTACGTATAATATGGTGAGTGAAAATTTAAAATATTATTTACACTCAATTATATCCAATAGAATTCCTGTTTGCTCAAATAGGAAGTCCCTAGCCGTTATTCATGTTGTCCTCCGTCTGTATTGAACTTTTAATAGGTTGCAAAAGCTTTGGCAGAACTTTAGAATCAGATCATACAGAACTTTAGAATTAGATCACTTTGCAAAGCCACTTCGTCTCACTACTACTGGTCATCTGTCATTTAAGCTGCCATAAAGCAGGATTCCACTCAAATCAAGTTAAATTAGAATCACAGAAGTAAGGCTCAGGCACTAGTATTTTTTAAACGTTCTCCAAGCAATTATAATGTGCAGCAAGAATTCCAACTCACCAGGCTAAATTGCAGTTGCGCAGTTTTGGTCTTCCTGATAACTGATTTCTTTGCCCTTTCTCTTTTCTGGTTCAATGCATAAAAGTTTTCCAATATTAGTTTTATTAGCTTCCGCTTACTAAATTCTGCTTACAGGTTCTTGCTTAGTCTAGATAGTAAGCAGAAACTTACTATCTAGACTTACTGTCAACTTATAAGTTGACAGACTACGTAAGCCGATCAACTACCTAAGCAGAAAACCTGTAAGCAGGAACTCAGTAAATGGAAGCTAATTAAAACTATATGCCAGGCAGGGTGCCAGCATTTTTTGTGCATTATCTCATTTAACGTTCATAGCAACCTCGAGGTAGAAGCCGTTTCTTTTTTGGGGGGCGGGGGGGATGAATGGAGTCTTGCTCTGTCGCCCAGGCTGGAGTGCAGTGGCGCGACCTCGGTTCACTGCAACCTTCGCCGCCCGGGCTCAAGCGATTCTCCTGCCTCAGCCTCCAGAGTAGCTGGGACTAGAGGCACGTGCCACAACGCCTGGCTAATTTTTTTTTTTGTATTTTCAGTAGAGACGGGGTTTCACCTCGTTAGCCAGGATGGTCTGGATCTCCTGACCTCGTGATCCGCTCGCCTCGGCCTCCCAAAGTGCTGGGATTACAGGCGGGAGCCACCGCACCTGTCCGGTAGGTGCTATTTCTATGAAACGTGACCAGTTAATGCCCCACTCCGCAGCCCAAGCTCTTACCCACTGCTTCTCTTCTTTAATTCACTCCTGATACGGAACTGTCGTGACACTCCAAAGTCTGTATGTAGTTATAAATAAACGTTATCTGGAAGAGCAGCCGAGAACAAGCCGCAAAATAACCCAAATGTAGTGGGCACCAGAGGCAGAAATGATACTGCAGGGTTGGCGGAGACCCGATACTGCAGGTCGGCCTCCCACAGAGCTGGATTACAGGCGTGAGCCACCGCTCCCGGCCAAGACCCACTTTCAAAGCTCACTCACGCGTCCTTCCTAGCCAGCTTCAGGGCTAGGACAGCCTTTATGTGCAAGGGGTAAAAAACAGGTATTTCCCAAATCAGCAGCAGCAGAGGGGCTCGATCCTTACTGGAGATGGTGAAAAGCCTTCTCGCGCCTTTTATGTCAGCCCACGAGACTCATTAAGATAGCGAACCCCAGGGGGCTGTCCAGGTCGCTTCCCGAGAGCCTGAGGTCAGAGACCCTGCCCCTGGGGCAGACGACGAGGGGTGGGGCGGGTGGCGGCGCCGGGGGTGCGCTGGGTGGGTGCAGGCGGGCGGAGGCTCGAGCCGCCCTAGCGGCGGCCCCTCCGGGTGTCCCGCGCCTCGCCTTAAAGGAGGGCGCCAACGCAATTTCAGTATCTGGGAGACGGGCTGCCCCACCCCCGCGCGCAAAACCCTGATTTAGCTTAAGGGATGGAGGCGGGACCCCGGCGCAGGCTCGCGGCGTGGGAGACTACCGCCCGCGCCCTCAGACGCCGCGCGCAGCGAGGCTGAGAGCTCCGCGCCGGGAGGGTCCTGGGGGCTGAGGAGCGCCGCGCTCGGTTGTCAAGGCAACCCCGCGCGGCTGGAGAAGCCGGCGCTCGCCGCCCGGCCCGGGCCGCTTCCGGAAGTGACGCGAATTCACCTGCAGAGCCGGGGTGGGGAGGAGGGGCGGAGGGTGCAGAGGTGTCGCCGCTGCCGGGAGCCAGTCGGGAGCGCGCGAGGCCCGGGGAGCCTGGGACCCGGAGCGAGAGCTGCCTACCTGCAGCCGCCGCCCACCGACGGCAGCCACCATGGCGCTCCTGCTGCTCTTCGTGCTCCTGTGCGGAGACGCGGGTGAGTGGGGGCCTTGGGGTCCTCAGCCCCCGCCCAGCCCGGGAGCGCTGGCTGCCCGCAGCCACCCAGGAACAATGGGTCGTGGGGGAGGGGGCGGGCGCGATTTGGGGGCGCTGCTGCTGCGGCGGCGGGGCGGGCAGAATTGCGCAGGGGCGCTTTTGCGGGGCCGGGCGCCCCAGCCTGGCAGGGTGGAGCCGCGGCGGAGGGGGCTCGGGCGCGGCGCGTCAGGTGCGCCTCGCGGGTCTCGCGTAGAATTCTCTGCCCTGGTGCGGGCTTGCCTTTCTTTACTCTGGCCCTCTCCCTTGTCAGCCTCCGTGTCGGTTCTATCCAGCGTTACCCGATTTCAAAAGCCTTGGGCGGCGAGTTTTCAGGTGTCGAGTCTCCCAGGCGGGGAGGCTGAATTGAAACGCCATTATTTAATGGCCAGGAGCTGCGCCGCGCCTCGGATCGGCCAGGCTACCTCTAGGAAAGAGGCGCTGAGCAAGCGCCAGCCTCGACGTGCTTAGTCTCCTGAAAGCAGCGGGCCCGGGCAAGAGCTAACCCGACGCACACTGTGAAGTAGACCGTGGGAAATCAAAAGTGGGTGCCCGCAAAATACAGCATTGGTTTCTGCAGTCCCGAGGCAAAGTGCAAAGGAGAATTTCAGTGACCTCGCTTTTAAGTTTGTAGTGAGTCGGTTCATTTTGAAGATAAGGCGGACTGAGTTGTACAGGGTAATTGCGACTGTTCCTTTCTCTGGGAGGGGGGAAAATGGCATGTAAAAATGCGTGGACCATTAGGAGGCATTTTTACATGCCATTTACATGCCGTTTTTTGCCATTTCAAAAAACGGATGTTTCCATGTCAGTCTTTTAACCAACTGATCTTGTTTGTCAAATTAAGCACTTGCTGCTTTTTGTAACCAAATAATTCATTTTTAAATATCCTAGGTGGGATCCTAGGAGGCACACTTAGTGTAGCCCCTGGAAGGATAATTTTTTTTTTTTTTTTTGTTAAGTGCTCTGAAGCGGGATCGGGTGGCCCTTTCTGTGGGGATGGCTCTCTGCTTCCTGTTGAAATGTTAATTCCATTGTTGGGTGCCACAGCTGTGAGCATTACTCATGGGATCGGCATTCTATTAACAAATCTAATCTTCTATCTGAGCCTACATAGCACTATCTCCACCTTTGTGATATATATCGTTTAGACTTGGCTGGCTGAAATGTCGAAAGTAACGCTTCCGGAGAAGATGAAGGGTCATAAAGCCCACTTACATGGTACATTCCCACTTTTTTTTTTTTTTTTGTCTAGGCTGAACCTGAAATTCAAGTTGAGAACAGTGTTTGTGTTTTCTGGGGGGAAAAATGTTTTAGCCCACATCTAAAGCAGAAAAGTGGAAGAAGATAAATTATGTGGGGGAACTATTTTTATGGGAATATTTAGAAAATTGGATTTATTTTTCATTTTTTGGAGTGCTTCACTTTGATAGGCACAATCCTAAGACATAATATTTTGATATATAGAGTCATTGTGCTCATAAGATATACACTATGGCACAGTGAACATCTACTCGAAGGACCAATGTCTTCAGCTAAACAAGACAACTATTTCTATTCCAATTTTTCTGTTTAAGAAACAGCTGAGGCCAGGCATGGTGGCGATAATCCCAGCAATTTTGGAGGTTGAGACCAGCCCGGGCCACATGGCAAGATCCCACTTCTACAGAAAATAACAAAACAAAACCCAAAAACAACTAGCAAGATGCAGTGATGCTTGCCATAGTCCCAGCTACTTGGGAGGCTGAGATGGGAAGATTGCCTTAGTGTGGGAGGTCGAAACTACAGTGAGCCCTGATCATGACACTGCACTCTAGCCTGGGTGACAGAGTGAGACCCTGTCTCAAAACAGGGAAAAAAAAAAAGGCCAGGGTCGGTGGTCCACGCCTGTAATCCCAGCACTTTGGGAGGCCGAGTTGGGCGGATCACTTGAGGTCAGCAGTTCGAGACCAGCCTGGCCAACATGGTGAAACCCTGTCTCTACTTAAAATACAAAAATTAGCTGAGCGTCTTGGCATTTGACTGTAATCTCAGCTAATTGGCAAGCTAAGACAGAGAATTGCTTGAACCCGGGAGGCGAAGGTTGCAGTGAGCCGAGATTGCAGCCCTGTATTCCAGCCTGGGTGACAGAGCAAGGTTCTGTCTCAGAAAAAAAAAGAAGAAACAGGTCAAACTAATTGATGGGTGGCTTTATGGCTTTATTTCTTCAGATATTTCTGACCACTTAGAAATGCATTGTTATGAACTCAAGTTCACTGTTAACATGATCTGACTCCTACATTAGCAAAACAAGGAAAAGACTTTCATATTTAAATTACACTGTCAGTGATATATACTCCTCTAGCTCTAAAAGAGTTTTGTGGTGTAATCTGGCTGCAGATGGGACTCCTTTTGATGCATTTTTATTGCCTCCCTGCTAGTGAGTCATACTACTAGTAATCCATAGTAGCAGCAGTAGTAAGCAGTGGCAGTAGCAGTAGTAGTAAAATGAAACCCCTGATCAATTACTAAATGCCAGATACTGTTCTAAGGGCTCTGCGTACCTATGTACTCAATATACCAAGCAACCCAAGAGGGTATTTATTATAATTATCCCTGTTGTACAAATAGAGAAACGGAGGCACAGAGTGGTTATGTAACTTGCCCAGGTCACAGATTTGCCCTTGAATCTATGCTGTCATCACACTGCTCTTCTGCCTCTACAGCAGCCACTTCCTCTTACTACCACTGGTCATCTGTCATTTATTAAGATCATACTGTTGGTTTGACTGTGTGCCAAATACTCAAGCCTTTTATTCTATTTATTTTATTTTTTTTCTCCTCCCACCCTCCCTCAGGCTTTTATTATTAACTCCTTAATGTCATAGTCTTAGTTGAATACTTTGAGGCATTGTGAGGATACTAGGATTCTCCAGGGCTTGGGTCGACACATGGCCTGTGGACCTGCAGCATCAGCATTACTTAGGGATCTTGGTTTGGGGTGGTGCTCTTCACATTGCCAAGATGAATAGAACTAAAAAAGTCTGGTCTCCCAACCCCTTGTTAGCTATTTGATGGTGGTCAAGCCTTACTATGTGTCTGTTGCCTTATGTGTCAAGAATGGGGATCCTGGGGCAGGTGATGAGGGTTGGAGGTGGGTGGATTGGGTAGATGTTGGTCAAGGGATACAAAATTAAATCCATTGTCCAACATGGTGACTGTAGTTAATATCAATGTATTATATTTTTGAAAATCACTGAGTAGATTTTAAATGTTCTCACCACAAAAAGTATGTGAGGTAATGCATATTATTTATGCATTCCCTTGATTTAGCCATTTCATAAAGCACACATTTCAAAATGATGTGTTATATATAGATAAATATACACATTTTTTGTCTGAAAAATAAATAGCAAAAAAACAAACAAACAAATAGGGACTTTACTATCTGAGAGTTGTTGAGGAGTAAAGTGAGATGCTTATCATTTTGTTTTACCTGTAGCCTTTACTTTACATTAAAAAAGAAAAAAGATAAGATGTGATCTTTATCATCTCCATATGCCCCTCTTAATCATTTCATTCCTGCGATTATACCACCATCAGAGGAAAAGATGCCTCTCCTTCAGGCAAGCTCCTTATCCTGTCTGTTGTGGGGTCTCCATTGATTACCAGCTTAACTCATTGCACTAGATCAGAGGACAGGGCCATTGCCTGTATTCACTGTTGCTGTCCCTACATGATCTTTTGGCTCCTGGCAGACAGCTAGTGTTCAGCAAGTCCTTTTTGCATGTCTACAAGTTTCAACTTCGTTGCCACTAGGCCTGTGTATAAGATAGCACTCTCTTTAATTCATCTCTCTCTTCCTTCTCATCTAGTAAAGATGATCCTTACAGTAATTATTCCACTAGTAATGTCTTACTCAGTTTTTAATCTAAAGAAGTTGAGCTTCTGCTTTATCTCTGACCTTGTTCTATTTTTTCTCCTGCTTCAGTTGCCAAAGGTTACAGTAATGCATGTGCCAAATTGGTTTATCTCTTTGGAGCTCCTTGACACCTA